GGTCCCCTCCTCACACTGCATGTGACCTTGACCTGCCAGGGCCTCACATTCCTCCTGCTAGGTAATTCCTCTTCCCTTCCCTGCCTAGTGGTGCTGGTTCCTAACAGACCAGCTTCCCTTTGCCCTCCAGAGCACACGCCACCCAAACCCAAGAGAGGTGCAGGCAGGGAAGGGGGGGAACCCAGCCAGGCCCGTGGGCAAGGACAGCCCTTCTGGGATTTCATGGCTCAGCTTTGAATCACACCTGTGGGAAGAGGTGTGGGCAGGGTCCAGGAGATGAACTTGACCACAGACACCATCTGCCCAACCTGGGACCCCCTCCCCCGGCTCTGGGGCCAGAGCTAGAGGAAATCCCAGTCCTCTCCTCTCCCCCACCCTCTGCAGCCAGCAGCGCAGCTTCTGCCATCTCAGCAACTACTAAATAGACCAATTAGCTAAGACTTCCTGCCATTATCTAACGTGGATTTGGACATTAGCGTGCTACTATTTGACCATAATTTCGAGTCAGAATGCACTAAAAAATTCACTCACTGAAGCATTAAAATGTTCCCGGGCAACATCTGTGTTTGTGTATTTGGGCTTCTTCCCTGTGTTTTGCCCCAAACTCACCAGCCTGTAGGCCAGTGTCACAGCCTAGCAGAACTGCCCGTCTGGTGTGACTTTCTCCTCCTCCTGCGGGGGTAGGTGGGTGACAGGTGGATTAGAAAGGTGTGCTAGTGGCCTCTTCAGACTTGACAGGAACACTGTGGAGGCTTTATGAAGTGGCCTTCAATCACTACGTCCTGGAAGCTGGGCTTTTGTGAGGCACCCAAGCATGGTTGACGGTCTTAAAACCGATGCTCTGTGCAAGCCTCACCAGCACTGGAGGTCCATCTGGGTAGTTCAGAGAGGGCTAGTGCAGGGGCATTCTGACATAGACCCCCCCCCCCGTGTGCATTTGTTATCTGCCTTGATCCTGACAGTATGAAGTGAGGGGGCCACGCAGGAGCCTGCAATGACAGTGGGAATCCCCTAGCAAGGATACAGCCTTCCTGGGCTGAGGGAGCTCCCCAGCATGGCTCAGAAGCTGCTGAGCCCCCTCACCTCTCCCTGTTTTTTCTCCATGTGGCCCTGAGCTTCCAGTGTGTGCCAGGGAAGAAGTGCACCAGGGCTCAGCCCTGGGCCACCTGCTGGGCCCCCTGCTGGGCCCCCTTCTCTTCATGTTCAGGGAAGCTGGGCATAAAGCAGAGATCTTGGTACTGGAGACATTTCTGAAAATAGAAGGCCCAATTGTTTCAGGGTTTTGTGGGTTTACAAGCTGCAGCTTCTCCCTGACTCCCTACCAAGCCCTGTTTGGGCTCAAAGGGCAAGATCACGTCCAGGTGTGCAGGGAAAGGCCAAGCAGGAGAGAGCTGGAGGTGCACAAGGCCCACCTGCGGTTTTAGTGTGCGTGTGTGGGTGTGTGTGTGTGTGGGGGGGTGTCTTCTGATGGCTCATCATAGACTCCCCTTTCCAGACCCCTTTAAATGCCAGGCTCTAGGGTCAATGAGGAGGTCAACAGATCAAAGGATGGCCCCTGGGGGCTCTGCAGGCAGGCGGAGTGAGGGAACTGATCAGAGCCCCCTCCCCTGAGCTCCTCTTCCGGTGGGTGACCCAGGTCTTTCCTTTGAGCCTGCTGCCCCCAGGCTGGGATGCTTACCCCGAGGCCAGGTTCTGAGCACTGACGTCTGTGGCAGGAACGAACGAGGTTGGGGCACCTCCCTGGGTTCCTACTGGCCCTCCTGCCCCATGGCTCTGAGACTTCTTGTGCCCACTGCCCTGACGTCGGTCACACGGCACCCAGCCTCATTTCCTGAAGGGAAACCTCTAAAGGTTCATGGAGATTGGAGTGTGCTGAGCACCTTGCCCTCCAGCCACGCAGTGCCCCTCTTCCCCTAGGCTCACCTCCTGTTGAGGACAGTTGTGCTGGCCGCTTCTCACAGAGGGAAGAAGTTTACAGATGAGGAGTCAAGGGAGGAGACCTGCCTTCTGTCTGTGACGGTGAAGATTTTCTCCCAAACCCTAACAGCTTCCCAACTTCAGGTGTGATTGCGGGTGAACAGGAATAGATCCTTTTATGCATGTTTACACTATTGAGAACTTCCAGGCAGGGAGGGGCCACTATGGGAGCCCCATCAGGGAACCTGGCCTCCCTAGGGAACCTGCTCTAAGGACCAGATTCTGCTACCTGGGGATCCAGGGTTAGGAGCACTGTGTGGAGCAGACTTTTGATCCCTCATTGTGGCCCTTCCCAAGACCCAAGCCCAGATCCAGTCTTCCCCAAAGCCAGCGTGACTGGGTTAATACAGATACAGGGAACAGGAAGAGACCCAGTACACATTGTAAACCACACATTGTAAACCACACAAAGACCCCAGACTTCCGGAGAGCTCCCTCTCTCCACACCCATCTCTCTCCATACAATTTACAGAGCACCTCCAATGTTCGTTCACCGATTCTCAAATGGAAACAGAATATATAACCACGTTGAAGCCCTGAGGCCCCACAGACTCCATCTGGCTACCCCAGCTCTTCCAGACAAAGAAACAATCCATCAAGTCAGGGAGCCTGGATGAACCAAGTTGCCGTCAAATGGGCCCTTGGGATGACCCCTCTGCCCACAGGTGGTAGGGATCAGGTGGGGCTGGACCAGGTGACCTGCACTCATGGGTGGTCCCAGAAGTGGTTGGAATGGCAAGTGTTCTCCCAGGTCCAGACTGTGTGTGTGTGTGTGTGTGTGTGTGTGTGTGTTGGGGGGAGGGGTTGAACATGGTTTTTGCAGAAAAGGGTGCAAACAATCCCTCTGGGAGTCATGAGAATTCAGGGTGATGAGGAAGTGTGTGGCTTGGCCAGTCTACATGGCACCTCTCACCAGCTAGAACAACCCTGGCAGTGCCCATTTTAGGTCAGAAAGATGAAAGGAAGTTCTCTGAGATCCATCTTGGGAAATTTCTTCTGCAGACCCTCTCTTCTTCCCTTTTAAAATCCCTCCTCTTGGGACCAACTGATCTCTCCCCAAATGGGGTGATGAGGTGAGGAAAGGCAGGTCAGACTGGGAGCCAAGTTCTTCAGGTGACGGGGCCAAGACTGCACTCCCCCAGCCCCCAGAGAGAGCAATCCTTATTCTCCAAGGGCATCCGACCCAGAACAGGAGGCTAAGAATCTCAGGCCTCCCCCATGGGAATGAATGGGTAGGAAACAGAACAGATATCCCAGCAGGTAGGCAGCAGGAAGGACCTCCCAGTCCTCCCCTGGCTTAACTATAGGTGAGTCTCCACCTCCTGCAACCTGAACGCTAGAAAATGGAAATGTCTAAAGATCCTTCTTTGGGGCCACAGCCAAAATGAAGGAGATAACTACAGAAAGCACATGGTAGGTATTCAAGACATGTGCTGCTCTTGAGCGTGCTCTTCAAACCCTCTCAGGTAGGACTGCACTCCTATCACCCCAAGACTTTGCATCTAAAGACAGGACAAAAACAATGGAGATGCTATCTTCTGTTTATCGGTAATTACCTTTGGGAAAGCTATATAGCATTTACCCCAAGCTGCTTCTGCTACCCTCCCAACCTTCCACCCAGTACTGTGTGTCTCAGAGTTACCCTGTTATGATGAAAAGAAATACAACGCATGCCAACAAAGTTGATGTATCAGTTTTCACCTAAGTAAAAACCTAAGTCTTTTGAAGAGAAATTACATGGTCCTTATATTTACTTTTTAAAAAATCCCCTCTTGCGCAATCTGACCTGCTATTTTTAAAGTTTGCCTGGAAAGACTTTTCCCTTGGTCCCCACCCTTCCCACAGCCCCTTCCTCTCTCACCTGCCTAGGAAGCCACAGCTTTAGGAACTGACACTCCCTCCCTTATGCCCTGCCTGTTTGGGAAAGATAATGGTCTAATGGAGCTATTGACCCAGCCTGGTGTTGGTGACCTGTTGACTTCCCAATCTGCCTGTTGATTCTTTAGACGTCCTTAGAAATCTTTTTACTGTAAATATTTGATGTGTGTTTGTGTGTCGGGGGGATGAAGTCTGGATTCTCATTCCACTGCCTTGCTCAGTCACGGGAAGCCCCTTCTCCCTCCCTCCAGCTGTAGGAGCTAGCCAAGTCAGGAGGGGCCGACTTGGGGATGACTCCCGGCCCGGTGCTTTTTAGCTCAATGGTAGGGGGTGGTCTCCTTCTCGTCCATCAGCATCCCTCCGCAGAGAGGAAGAGCTTTGCCAATATGGTCCCACTCCACGGCCCCTGGATGATGTCTCCAAGCAGATGTGGGTTCTGCAGTCCAAGGTGCAGACTCTGCGCTCTTCGCCTTGGCTGGGGTAGGGCTCCCAGCGACCATCTGCGGAAGCCAACTGACGCTCATGTTTACACCCCCAACCCTGGACGCCCACACACCTGAAACGCAGGGGACTTCCCAGAGCAGATAAAAAGATTCAACCTTCTCAGGGTGGGACCCGGACACTCCCCGCCGCGCCTGGAGGCCCTGGAGCAGGAAGAAGCCGGAACCACACTGTCGTCCCTGCGCTTGTCGCGGTCATTTAGCAGAGCAGCCAGATTTGGGCGCAACGTGGGTGTTCAGGGATGCACCCGACTCCCAAGGCAGAAGAGGACAAACTAAGAGGCCTGCGGAGGCCTCGCGGACTAGCCCTGCTGCCTTCGTAAGGCGCGAGGCCAAAATGAGACGAGGTGTCTAGCCACCGGGCACTCACGGGATCCCAGGGGCCACACACGGGAGGGCAGAGAGAAAACAGGGGTTGAGCCTCTGAGTCCTCCAACCCCAGTCGCTGTCCCCGGCCTGCCACCTCAGCTCAACACCCTGGGCTGTTTAGGACCTGGAGGAAAAGGGGCGGGGTGACAGGCGGCTGGACGGTGACAGGTGCACCCCTCGGCCAATTGCTGGGCTGGCGCCCCTCCTCGGCCCCCGCCTCGCGCGCCAATCCGAGGCCGCGCTGAGCTTCAAGTGCGCGGAGGGGCGCGGGTCCGCGCCACGGCGCCAGCGGCCTCGGCGCGATAGCCTGCGGGCTGGGACCCAGAGTCGGGCACCCAGGCCCAGACGCACCGAAGCGGTCGCGTGGGAGTTTGTCCGAGTGCGAGCGCGTGTGAGCGCGGCCCCAGCGGGGTTCGCACGGAGAGGCGCCTGGAATATGATAGCCGTCCGCTGAGTTTCCGGCGGTGACTTCGATTCTTGGCAAATACTCACAATAACCATACCGAGCCCCGGGGCTTGCCACCGTCGGGCACAGACTCCGTGAGCCCGCACACGGCTGCGACGTCCACCACCGGGCCCTGATTGCCAACCCCAAACGAGCAGATGGAAAAATCCAAAAATTTCCGCATCGACGCCCTGCTGGCGGTGGACCCCCCGCGAGCCGCCTCCGCGCAGAGCGCCCCGCTGGCCTTGGTC